TAAGCCAGCCTGGGCAACATAGCGACACTCCATCTCAAAAAAAAGAAATTCAGGCTGGGCACGGTGGCTCACGCCTGTAATCCCAGCACTTTGGGAGGCCGAGGAGGGCGATCATGAGGTCAGGAGTTCGAGACCAGCCTGCCCAACATAGTGAAAGCCCGTCTCTACTAAAAATACAAAAATTAGCCAGGTGTGGTGGCGGGCGCCTGTAGTCTCAGTTACTCAGGAGGCTGAGGCGGGAGAATCGCTAGAATCGGGGAGGTGGAGGTTGCAGTGAGCTGAGACCACGCCATTGTAGTCCAGCCTGGGTGACACAGTGAGACTCTGTCTCAAACAAAACAAATCAAAACAAAACAAAAACAGAAAAGAAATGCAGTGAGTCAGCTCTCGCCTGTGAGTGGGGACCAGGAAGGCAGGGATGATGTTGGCCCAGGAGAGGACTGCCCTGCAGAGATCTGGCCCTTACAGATCTTCCCCCCGGGAGCACCTGTGTGCTGTGCCTGTCCCCATGTGGCCCACGCCTCTATCTGACTGGCTGCGTGATGTTTTCAATGAGTTCCAGGACATTTGGCTTCCAGAGTGCATGGGAGGCCCATGGGCCTCAGAAGCAAAGCTGGCATCTGAGCATACTCGTGCGGGCCTGGCGCCCCCCACCTCAGCAGCAGCGAAGCTGCCCCTTGCCCTCCCTGGGCACCCTGGAGCCTCAGCCGTGTTTCTGAAACCAGGGCAGAAGCGCCTTCCTGGCGAGGCTGTGGTGAGGATTGGAGGGGAGGCCTGCGGAGGGGGCCTGGCGGTGCCTGCTGGGGTCCTTGTTGTCAGAGATGGTATTTGTCACCCCCGTCCGGCAGAGTCCTGGAGACTGGGGGAATGGCACATGCAGGGCTCGGCCCCTCACCCTGCTCACTGCTAGGGCCTCGGGGATCCTGGCTGTGAGCGTCCTGGCATGAGGGCAGCCTCACTGAGGTGAGGCAAGGGTATTTCCCGTTCCCCACCTGCCTGGCTGTCTTCCCACTGGCCCTCGGAAGCCAGGAGGCATGAACTCCTGGCTGCCTGAGTTTCCTTCTTACTGGCAACTTTGTTTAGGGGTTGGGGTGGGGGTAGGGCCGCTATTGACTGGGGAGCCTCTGTGGTTTCCAGGGAGTCTGCGTCCACGCCCTCGGAGGCCCACTCACAGCTGCAATTGACTCATTCGATTTCTTCTTAAGTGACAAATGAAGCCAGAGGTTACCCGATGCAGGGCTGGTGCTCTGCCCGAAGTTGACCAGCCAGGCCTAGGAATGCCACTCCCTGCTCCTAAAGCCCTCCGAGGCCATTGCCCAGAGGAGGCGGCCTCATGTCCCAGGGTATGGGGCCCCCAGGGTCTGGGCCGTGCAGCCTCAAGGCACAGCCCAGGGGAGCTGCCCTCACTCTGTCCTCTCCCTAGACTGCCACACCACCTCGCCCCTGTGTTATCCCATATGATCATGGATTTGATAGAAAATGTCCCATGGGGGAGCAGGCGCGGTGGCTCACGCCTGTAATCCCAGCACTTTGGAAGGCCAAGGCGGGCGGATCAGGAGGTCAGGAGATTGAGACCATCCTGGCTAACACAATGAAACCCTGTCTTTACTAAAAACACAAAAAATTAGCTGGGCGTTTTGGCAGGTGCCTGTAATCTCAGCTACTCGGGAGGCTGAGGCTGGAGAATGGCGTGAACCCGGGAGGTGGAGCTTGCAGTGAGCCGAGATCGTGCCACTGCATTCCAGCCTGGGCCACAGAGTGAGACTCCATCTTAAAAAAAAAAAAAAAAAAAAAAAAAAGGCCGGGCGCGGTGGCTCAAGCCTGTAATCCCAGCACTTTGGGAGGCCGAGACGGGCGGATCACAAGGTCAGGAGATTGAGACCATCCTGGCTGACACGGTGAAACCCCGTCTCTACTAAAAAATACAAAAACTTAGCCGGGCGAGGTGGCGGGCGCCTGTAGTCCCAGCTACTCGGGAGGCTGAGGCGGGAGAATGGCGTAAACCCGGGAGGCGGAGCTTGCAGTGAGCTGAGATCTGGCCACTACACTCCAGCCTGGGCAACAGAGCGAGACTCCGTCTGAAAAAAAAAAAAAAAAAAAAAAAAAAGTCCCATCGGGGTATTCATCCCAGCCTTGTCTTTAGTGGTGACGATGTAAGCTATTCGCATGCCCCACACTGGGGTTAGTGGTATTCGCTGTGTATGTGACACACCGGCATGGGTCAGTGGTCTTCCTCTGTGATGTGACAATGTCGGTATGGGTCAGTGGCGTTCTGCTGTGTGTGACACACCGGTCTGGATTAGTGGGTGTTCCACCATGTATGTGACACTGGTATGGGTTAGTGGTGTTCGCTATGTATATGAACACACTGGTATGGACTTCGGCCCTGAACACTAGCGACACTTTGAACTGGATGGGTTGTGGGACTACCCTGAGCATTGCAGGGTACTCAGCAGTGCCCCCACTGCTACCTGGAGTGCCAGGAGCATGCACCCCATAAATGTCTCCAGACAGCACCAGATATTTCCTGGGTGTCCAAGTCGCCCTGGCTGAGGACTGCATGAGTCTGGTGGGAGACTCGCTGCAGTGCCAAGGTGGCCGCAGTCTGCTTGTGACGCGGGCGTGTATCTGAGTCTGAAGGAAGCTGGTTTTTGTGAGCTGCCTCTCAAGCTCGGAGGTGACAGTGGGCACTTTCTCCACAGAGACCCCCGAAGTTGTTCCTTGGAGAACAAAGCGGCGAGGCGCGGGGGCTATAGACCTTGAGGCGGAAGCTAGGGTCTGGTCCACTGTGCCATGGCCTGGGCAGTGGCCCTGGGAGGTGCTGTGGCCTCTGTGGCCTGTTTTGTGGGGTGGGCTCTGTCTTGCGCTTTGTCTCGTGTGGGTGCAGGCTCCCCTTCCTCCCCTGTGGAGCCGGCAGATGGCCCCGGAGCCGGGCCCTGGTGCCTCCCTGTCTGTCATGCAGCTCAGGTCCCTTCCTATGAAATGCACGGCCACACCCAGTGAGGGTTTCTCCTGGGCTCCCCAGTGGGAGAGTGGGGTGCAGCCTGCAGCGGTGCAGGGCCCCCAGGCCTGTGTGAGCCCCAAGGTGGGGAGGTGGATGAGGCGCCTGTCAGTGCTGCTTTCTGCCACCTCCTCTGCCTGGGCACAGGCTCTCTCCTCTGTTTGCTTTTTATTTCCTATGTATTCAGGAACCGTGTGAAATTGCCAGTGCCTGGTTTTGTCCTACAAAATAGCCATTTCATTTGGTTCAACCTGATACTGTGTCTATACACACACGCACAGGCAAATACTTTTTAGAACAGGATCACTCTATTCACAGTGTTCTGTAGAAATTTGTGTTCAGTCTTTTTAAGACACCTTACTATACTGATGCCAACAAAGATTTTTTTTTTTCTTTTTTTCTGAGACAGGGTCTCACTCTGTCGCCCAGGCTGGAGTGCAGGGGTGTGATCTCCGCTCACTGCAACCTCTACCTCCTGGACTTAAGTGATCCTTCTGCCTCAGCCTCCTGAGTAGCTGGGCCCACAGGGTTTGCTTCACCGTACCTGGCTAATTTTGTATTTCTGTAGAGATGGGGTTTCACCATTTTGGCCAGACTGGTCATTCTTTTTTTTTTTGAGACGGAGTCTCGCTCTGTCACTCAGGCTGGAGTGCAATGGCATGATCTCGGCTCACTGCAACCTCTGCCTCCCAGGTTCGCGCCATTCTCCTGCCTCAGCCTCTCAAGCAGCTGGGACTACAGGTGTGCATGCACCACCACACCCAGCTAAGTTTTGTATTTTTAATAGAGACAGGGTTTCACCATGTTGGCCAGGATGGTCTCCATCTCTTGACCTCGTGATCCGCCTGCCTCGGCCTCCCAGAGTGCTGGGATTACAGGCATGAGCCACTGTGCCTGGCCCAGACTGGTCATTCTTTTATTTTAGAGCCAGGGTCTCCCTCTGTGCCTAGGCTGGAGTGCAGTGGCACCATCCTAGCTCACTGCAGCCCTGAACTCCCAGGTGCAAACAATCGTCATCTCAGATCAATCTTAGTCTCGAGCTGTCACCCAGGCTGGAGTGCAGTGGTGCAATGTTGACTCAGTGCAACCTCCGCCTCCTGGATTCAAGCGATTCTCCAGCCTCAGCCTCCCGAGTTGCTGGGATTACAGGCATGTACCACCACACCCAGCTTATTTTTGTTTTTTGTTTTGTTTTGTTTTGTTTTGTTTTTGAGACAGAGTCTCACTCTGTCATCCAGGCTGGAGTGCAGTGGCATGATCTCAGCTCACTGCAGCCTTCGCCTCCCGGGTTCAAGCAATTCTCCTGCCTCAGCCTCCCAAGTACCAGAGACTACAGGTGCGTGCCACCACGTCCAGCTAATTTTTTCTATTTTTAATAGAGATGAGGTTTCACTGTGTTAGGCAGGATGGTCTCTATCTCCTGACCTCGTGTTCTGCCCGCCTTGGCTTCCCAAAGTGCTGGGATTACTGTCGTGAGCCACCATGCCCGGCCTATTTTTGTATTTTTAGTAGAGACGAGATTTTACCATGTTGACCAGGCTGGTCTTGAACTCCTGACCTCAAGTGATCCTCCTGCCTCAGCCTCCCAAAGTGCTGGGATTACAGGCATGAGCTACTGCATCTAGCCGGAAGATTTAATTTTTTAATTGTCAAATCCATTCTCTCTCTCTATAAACATTTTACATTTTATGATAATAAAATAATTTGTGAGCCGACGGCCCTGTTTCCCTGATGCCTGAGGTCTTCCTGGGGTGGCATGGGAGGGCTGAATTCAGGTGTGGGGTTGGCCCCAGGGCACTGAGTGCCTGGGCGAGTATCTGGAATGAGGGAAACAGCTTGGTTCCAGCCAAGAGGAAAGAAACCCAGGATGCTCTGGTCAGGCCAGGACCTGGGCTCAGTCACCATTTCTGGAGCCCAAGCCCGCTGCGTTGTCCTCCCGAGGGGTCCTGACTGGGGCTTTCCAGGAGCAGCCGCCCACTCTGTGTGTGTCCTCTTCCAGGTCGCCGCTGGAACACCGTGAACTAGGAGTGAGTCGGAGCTGCCGTGCTGCCCAGGCCATGGACTGTGAGGTCAGAGGCCAGATCCCCCGCGGGTGCCTTGTGGGAGGTGGGGGGTGAGGGGTAAGGGCTGGCATGTCCCCCAGCACGCCTCCATGAGAGCTAAGGCTGAGCCCACATGGCCCTTACCACAGCTCCGCACAGACGAACCCCGCCCAGCCCCTTCACTGAAGCAGGCAAGAGCCAGGAAGCCCTCCGTTTCCCTGTCCTGCACCTTCCTTGCACTCCGCTTTCGGTGCGGCCCCTCCACACAGCGGCTGGGGCTAACTGCAAGGGCAAGGGGGCTTTTGGTTTAAGACCATTGAGAGCCATAGGCTGTGGGTCCCAGCACTTTGGGAGGCCAAACAGGAGGATTCCTTGAGGCCAGGAGGTCGAGGCTACAGTGAGCTGTGATTGTGCCAGTGCACTGCAGCCCTGTCCAAACAAACAAGCAAGCAAACACACACAAAAGAGATTTAAAAACAAGAAAGTGGGCATTACATAAGCACTTCATACAATTCTCTCAACTGTAAAAGCAAGACAACAATACTTGTCTAACCCATGCCATTGCTATCAGGAGCAAATAAATCAATAAAGGTCAAATAAAAGTGCTGGAAACTGTAAGGTGTTTCAAAACATTTTTAACCCACTGGATTTAAATTTCCCTTCATAGCTGGGTGAGGTGGCACATAATCCCAGTGACTTGGGAGGCAGAAGCGGGAGGATTGCTTGAGGCCAGGAGTTTGATTGAGAAACCTGGGCAACATAGTAAGACCCTGTCTTTATAAAGATAAAAGCGGTGGAGTTCTGGGAGGGGAGCCCGGAGCCCCCGCGGTCATGGTCCTGCCTTCAGCAGGATGCTCCCTGAAGGACTCCTTGTCTCTCCTTCCCTTTAAATGGTCTGGGGAGAGAAAATCACAGCACACGGGTCAGGAGCCTCTCCACCCACTGCAGCAGAGCCTCCTCCCGCCCCTCCTGCCGAGTTCTGCAGCCTCTGCAGGGCGCCCGGCACCGGGGCCTCGCGCTGTCCTGGCAGCCTCTGGGAAGGCATCTGCGAAGTCTAATGCCTTGGCGCTTAGTGACTGGCGGCCTGTGTCGCGGTTTCTGAACATGGAGAGCACCCAGCACCCAGGAGGTTCTCAAGCTGCCCCTACTGGGCGTCCTTTCCAGAGGTGGGGATGGTGTGGATTTCAGCGTGGTGGCTGGAGGGCTGAGGCAGTGGCTCGAGTTTGATGTTAGTTACGTGAACAGAGGAGATTGCAGGAGCTCCCCCGGTCGTGATCCAGGCTTCTTGTCAGTGGCCAAAAGACCACTCTGTGGGTGCCACCGTCCCTTCCCACCTGCCGCTGCTGTTCCGGCTTCGTGCTCTGGAGGCCTCCGCAGGCAGAACGGAACGCCGCCGTCACAGTGCGGCGCCCTGACTCGCCTGAGGAGGCGCCTGCCCTCCCGCCGCCTCTGCCTCTGCCGGCCCGGTCAGTGAGGGGCTGGATGTCGCCGCGCGCAGCGCTCCCCTTTCCTGCCTTCGGAGGGAGAAAGCCGGGGCAGCAGTGAGGCAGCCCGCCCGGGGCCACAGAGCTGGGGTCACAGCGAAACACTCCGAAAGATTCTTTCAAATTATAGGGTTCAGCCTTTTTTCCCATCAGAACTTTAATTCTGTTTAGATATTTCTTATTTTCTGGTTTGTTTTATTTGTTTTGAGACGGAGTCTCGCTCTGTCGCCCAGGCTGGAGTGCAGTGGCGCGATCTCAGCTCACTGCAAGCTCCGCCTCCCGGGTTCACGCCATTCTCCTGCCTCAGCCTCCCGAGTAGCTGGGACTACAGGCGCCCGCCACCACGCCTGGCTAATTTTTTGTATTTTTTAGTAGAGACGGGGTTTCACCATGTTAGCCAGGATGGGCTTGATCTCCTGACCTCGTGGTCCACACGCCTCGGCCTCCCAGAGTGCTGGGATTACAGGCGTGAGCCACCGCGCCTGGCCAGTTCTATGTAGATATTTCTTTTTCTTCCCCTAGTAAAAATAAAATAAAATAAAATAAAATACAGTAAAATGCACATAACAGAAAATTTACTGGGTGCAGTGGCTCACACCTATAATACCAGCACTTTGGGAGGCGGAGTGGGTGGATTGCTCGAGCTCAGGAGTTTGAGACCAACCTGGCCAACATGGTGAGACCACCATACCTACAAAAACTACAAAAATTAGCCAGGCATGGTGATGCATGCCTGTAGTCCCAGCTGCTTGGGAGCCTGAGGCAGGAAAATCACTTGAGCTCAGGAGTCTCAGGCTGTAGTGAGACAAGATCGCACCACTGCACTCCAGCCTGGGCAGCAGAGGGAGATCCTGCCTAAACAACAACAAAATCAGTGTTCCTAATTTTCCTTTAAAAAGTGTGGAGAACTTTGCATTATTTTGCTTGTCAGTATCTTCCAACTGCTGCCTCTTTGATTGTTTTGATATTTGATAAAACAAAGACAATGAGATTGGTTTTATTTTTGTTTGGTGCTATTTTTTTGCCAGGTTTGGGGAACAGGATTTTTCCAGTTTATGAAACTGCATTGGGTAGGGTAGGTACCATCTTTTTCTTTCTTTTTTTTTTTTTTCTTTTCTGAAACAGAGTCTCGCTCTGTCACCAGGCTGGAGTGCAGTGGTGCGATCTCGGTTCGCTGCAACCTCCACCTCCTGGGTTTCAAGCAGTTCTCCTGCCTCAACCGCCCGAGTAGCTGGTACTACAAGCACGTGTCACCACGCCCAGCTCATTTTTGAATTTTTAGTAGAGATGGGGTTTCACCACGTTGCCCAGGATGGTCTCAACCTCTTGACCTCATGACCACTCGCCTCGGCCTCCCAAAGTGCTGGGATTACAGGTGTGAGCCACTGTGCCCGGCCAGTACCATCCTTTTCTTTGCACTGGAGCTGGTCTTATTATTTCTGCCTCCATTAGATCACTTTTGTAACATGCCTTGCAGAATTTCCTGTCTGAATCATTTCTCTTAGCATATTTTTTTCCTGTGATCTAAAAGATAAACAACTATCAATTCTTTTATCAAAAGTGGATCTAGAGGCCGGGCATGGTGGCTCACGCCAGTAATCCCAGCACTTTGGGAGGTTAAGGTGGCAGATCACCTGAGGTCAGGAGTTCCAGACCAGCCTGGCCAACATGCTGAAACCCCATCTTTACTAAAAATACAAAAATTAGCCAGGTGTGGTGGCATGTGCCTGTAACCCCAGCTACTTGGGAGGCTGAGGCAGGAGAATCCATTGAACCTGGGAGGCAGAGGTTGCAGTGAGCTGAGATCACACCATTGCACTCCAGCCTGGGCAACAGAGTGAGACTTTGTCTCCAAAAAAAAAAGTGGATGTGGAAGATCAAAAAAGGGCATGGTTCCATATTGGCACAGCACAAGCTCTATTCTTGGAATTAAATGACATCCATCTTCCAAGCCTACTCCTGTCCTGTGGGACCAGCCCAGCCTGTCCCTGAAGCACTGGTCCAGACAGGAGCCTGTCCACACAGTTCTCCACCCACTGGGCCCAGTGCTTGACTGCACGGTCACTCGCAGCATCTGGACCTCCTCTGGCAGGTGCCATTCTTTGCTCTCCCTCCCTGCCCCCTCAAGTCTTTGTTTTCTGTGGGATCTTGAGTTTGATAGCCTGACCTGCCATGGTGGCAGTGCTGCTCTGTGTCCAGATTCTGGATGCCTGTTTACCAAGCGCAGGTCAAAGAGGTCCTTGGGCAGCGGCTGCCTGCGTTAGCTTCTCGGGGCTGCTGTAGGCAATTCCAAGCAGGAGAGTGGCTTTAAACAACAGACGCCGATTCCCTCCCGGTTCTAGAGGCCGGAAGGCTGGAATCCCGTGTTGCCCGGCTGCTTCCTTCTGGGGCATTCTCCCGGCTCCTGTGGCTGCCTCTGTCTTCACATGGTGTTCTCTCTGTGTGTCTCTGCTTAAATCTCCCTCTCGTTTCTCTTACAAAGACACCAGTCATTGGATTTAGGACCCACCCTAATCCAATACGACCTCATCTTAACTTGATTGCGTCTGCAGAAACCTCATTTTCAAATAAGGTCACATTGGCAGGTACTTGGGGTTAGGACTTGCACACTTCTTTTTGGGTGACACAGCTTAGCCCACAGCACTGCCTGCGTCCTCTCTTCTCTCCTCACCAGGACTGTCGCTTGAGGCAGGAATGAAGCACATCCTGTTTGTGAGCTGTCTCGTGCCATGAGGCTGCTGCATACAGGAACTGTTAGGAATTGATGCAGCGGAATTTTGCATACAATTTTTCCTGTTTTCAGAAACAACTTTGGAGAAGTAAAGGCTGAATAGCAATACACAAGCACCTTATTTGATTTTTATTTTAGATTCAGGGGTACACGTACATGTTTGCTACATGGGAATATCATGCACTGGTGGGGACTGGGCTTCCGGTATTGCCTGGAGAGGGACTGTGTCGTGCTGCCCCGCCCCCGCCTCCCTGCCGTAAAGCGCCCAGTGCCTGCTCGCTCCATCTTCCTGTCCATGGGCACCCATTGTTTAGCTCCCACTTATAAGTGAGAACAGTCAGTGTTTGATTTTCTGTTTCTGAGTTCGTTCACTCAGGGTAATGGCCTCTAGCTCTATCCACGTTGCTACAAAGGACATGATTTTATTCTTTTTTATGGCTGCAGCAATACACAAGCTCCTTATTTTAAGCATTTTTTTTTTTTTCTTTTTTGAGACAGGGTCTCACTTTGTCACCCAGGTTGGAGTGCAGTGGTGTGATCATGGTTCATTGCAGCCTCAAACTTCTGGGCTCAAGTAAAGTGACCCTTCCACCTCAGTCTCATGAGTAGCTGGGACTACAGGTGCATGCCCCCTTGGCTAATTTTTATTTTTTATAAAGATGGGGATCTTGCTGCCAGGCTGGTCTCAAATTCCTAGGCTCAAGCGATCCTCCTGCCTCTGCCTCCCAGAGTGCTGGGATTACAGGCGTCACGTAGCAAAGCATTAAAACAATTTGCTGATGGGCACTGTAGCTCACGCCTGTAATCTCAGCACTTTGGGAGGCCAAGGGGGAGCAGATCACGAGGTCAGGAGTTCGAGACCAGCCTGACCAACATGATGAAACATCGTCTCTACTAAAAATACAAAAATTAGCTGGGTGTGGTGGTGCACGCCTGTAATCCCAGGTACTCAGGAAGCTGAGGCAGGAGAATCATTTGAACCCGGGAGGCGGAGGTTGCAGTGAGCCGAGATCACAGCACTGCACTCCAGCCTGGGTGACAGAGCGAGACTCCATCTCAAAACAAAAACAAAAAAGCAATTTGCCCTGTAAGAACTGTCCTCTAAAAGTTTTTGGTTTTTCTAATGAAAAATATTATGGGCTTAGAGGATAGAAATAAATCTCTGCCTGCACTTCCATCTTCCCTCCCGCCCTTCTCTGGCAGCCCAGGAGGTCTTTGTGTGTGAACCTGGGCAGATCTCAGCATCCCCGCCCTTCTTTTTGTTTTGTTCTCTCTTCCACCTTACGTCTTTCTCTGCTCTGGGCACACCCAGCTGCAGATGCTACAAGGGTTCACCTTTGTTTGCAAGAATACAGCCCCAAACACAGTCAGTACCCCAAGAACAGTCCCTGCCATCTCCCGCGGCACAGACGCTGGCCGAGCTGCAGCTGCCAGTGCTGCCCAGGGAGCTGGAGAGCTGTCGGCCAAGAGCCCAGCCCCTCCGGGTAGAGCAGGAGCCAGCCCCACCACTCCCTGTGGGGTTTGGATTAAGGACACATCCACCCAAAGTAAACCAAGCTTGGCCGAAGGCAGGTGCCCAGCTGTGGTCACCACTCCACAGTAGTTACTGGAAATCTTCCATCTGCCCAGTACCCTCCTGAGCCCGTGAAGGAGATGAGGGGAAAGAAAGGGGCTCCGCCTGTTGGAAGCACAGCCAGGAAAGGTGGGCTCAGATTGCTGAAGCTTGCGGGGGAACCTGAAGAAAGCGTGCAAGCACAGGATGATGGATGATGCCCGCGTGTCACTCACTCGCCTCCCCAGAACAGCCTGTGGCCTTCTCACCCAGTGGAAGCTCCCCAGCCACGTGTTTCAGGAGGTCCAGCAGATTCCTCTGCAGAGGAATCCCTTTCTGCAGAGTCGGGGCTCGCTCCCTGCCATCTATCTACAGGCGGTGCTGCTTAAAGCCAGGGCCACAGACCTTGCCTCTGCCTGTTGAGACCTCCTGCAGGGCACTCCAGCCCACAGGGTCCCTCAGCTCTCCGGGGCCTGCGAGGCTCTTTTGGGCTGGACGCACCTGGAGCTCTTTGCAGGAGGGGCCTCTGGCCTGGCTGAGGTCCCACCTTCCTGACTCCCCTTTCCCCTCAGGTCAGCAATGGTTCCGGCCTCAGGGATGAGTGCGTCACAAACCTGCTGGTGTTCGGCTTCCTCCAAAGCTGCTCTGACAACAGCTTCCGCAGAGAGCTGGACGCGCTGGGCCGCGAGCTGCCAGTGCCAGCTGCCCAGTGGGAGGCCTACGACGAGCTTCAGACGGACGGTAACCGCAGCAGCCACTCCCGCATGGGAAGAATAGAGGCAGGTAGGTGGCCGGCCCCACCTCCTTCCCCAAAGCCGGGCTTTTCTGTCGCCAGTTACTGGGCTCAGCCTCCGCGTCTGCAGTTTCAGCGACCACGTAGGTTGGTGTCACTTAACCACTTGACTGATTGGTCTCTACTTGATTCCCTCCAGTGCTGCTGAACTCACTGCCCACCATTTTTGGGTGACTCTGTTAGAAAATTCTTCCTGCCGGGCGCGGTGGCTCACGCCTGTAATCCCAGCACTTTGGGAGGCCGAGGCGGGCGGATCACGAGGTCGGGAGATCGAGACCATCCTGGCGAACACGGTGAAACCCCGTCTCTACTAAAAGAAATACAAAAAACTAGCTGGGCGTGGTGGCGGGCGCCTGTAGTCCCAGCTACTCGGGAGGCTGAGGCAGGAGAACGGCGTAAACCCGGGAGGCGGAGCTTGCAGTGAGCTGAGATCCGGCCACCGCACTCCAGTCTGGGCGACAGAGCGAGACTCTGTCTCAAAAAAAAAAAAAAAAAAAAAAAAAAAAGAAAATTCTTCCTTTCTGATGAGCCAGAATCCCATGTACTGGTCTTGAGTCCCTTGTCTGGACCTACATAGAATGGTGTTTTTATCCAGTTTCCCAAATGTGATTCTGATGCAAAGATTGCAAACCACTTGTCTGGATTATATAACCCAAGGGGTTCTCTCACTTGGCCTTATATCGTCTCAAGGACCTGGAGCTTTAAATGCTGGTGCCTGCGTCTTGCCTCCAGAGATTCTGATTGGTTGGTCTGGGCATTGCTGGGTCTGGGCAAAGGCCCCAGGTGGCACTCCCGGCGCGGCCCCTGTCTCCCCAAGCGGGCCTGGCTGATTGTCCCATTGATGGAGGCCCACTGGTTTCACAGTGACTTCTGCCCCTGTCTATACCTGACACTTTTCCTTTCGTATACATCATGCCCCGTGATTACCTATACAAGAACACAGAAGCATTTGGAACCTCATTTCCAGGTGAGGAAACCCAGGTCCAGCGAAGGGTAAATGACTGGCTCCAGATCACACAGCTTGCGGTCATGTCACCGCCTCACCGCCGGGACGTAGGGCCAGGCCCCCGCTCAAGCTGGGGTTCAGCTGCCCTCGCACTGTAGGGCACAGCTTCCAGGCCACCGTGGTTTCCAGACTGCTCACCTTTCCTGTTGCTAATCCCTGCGCTCTCCTCCAGCCTCCAGCTCCACTCGCCTTTGCCAAGGGGCTGCTTCTGCAGACGGGCTGTCCCAAGCGGAGGCTGGGGGCGTGTGGAGGCTCACCCACTTCCAGATCCGGCCCTGTGACGCTGGCTTTCAGTAGTGTGCACGTTGGAATTACACGAGGAACCTTTCCAAATGCAGGCCTTGGGCCCTACTCCAGCTGCCTGCATCAGGCTGTTTTAGCGGGGTAGACTGCCCAGGTAGACTCCCACCCTGGCCCAGGCCTTCCGAGCTCAAGGGTTGTGCTGCCCTCTGGTGGCTGTGGGGGAGACCAACAGCTGACCCAGCCTTCTGCCTCCCACCTGTCTTAGATCAGTGCTTGAGAACGTGGCTGGAGTTCCCCACTAGCCTGGGGTGGGGGTGGGAGGGGGGTGGGGGTGGGAGGGTGGGAGGAGGTGTCTGAGAACGTCTCTGCCTTCTAATCCAGCCAGCACGTCTTCTGGCTGGCTCTGAACTGAGGAGAAACCCCGGATCCCCTTGGGAAGGTCCAGGAAGGGCAGGAGTGGACGGGCACAGCTCTGCTGTCAGCACTGCTGTGGGGGCAGCTGCAGCCCCAGTCTGCCCTGGTGTTTTTCTCTCGCTCTTTTCTCCACGCCGGCCTTCGCCTCTAGACTGAGAAACCGGGCTTGACTCAAGTGGCACCGGCAAAAGTGATCATGGCAGTTCACTTAGCCTGACCGGTGCTCTGGTGGGAAAGTGGTGTGTGAATCTGGTCCCTGGCAAGCCTGGGAAGAAGGGCAAGGTAGAGACTCTGGCTGCCGGGGTTTCTTTGGTGAGTCCGCTCACTTGGCTGGACACAGACGGATCAGGAAAGATTCCTGTTGCTACTGGGCTGGTGGCCAGAGGGAGAGAGGACGTGTCCGTAACTGAAGCAAGGTGGATAGGCTTCGGGGACGAGCGAGGCACAGATTCGGTGCTGGGGGAGCGATGAGGTGCTAGAGGAGCTGGGTGCTCTGCTCTGCAGGGAATCAGGAAAACTGTGGGGCTGCAGCTCCCGTTGAGCTGGGCCTTGGAGGCTGGGTACATTTGGTTCCTTGGAAACTGGGAAGAGGGAATGGCCCTCTTTTAAGCAAAAGCCCAGCGGCTATAAACGCTACAGTGAGGCTGGGTGCAGTGGCTCACGCCTGTAATCCCAGCACTTTGGGAGGCCAAGGCAGGTGGATCAAGGTCAGGAGTTCAAGAACATCCTGGCCAAGATGGTGAAACCCCGTCTCTACTAAAAAAAAATACAAAACTTAGCCAGGCGTGGTGGCGGACGCCTGTAATCCCAGCTACTTGGGAGGCTGAGGTAGAGAATTGTTTGAACCCGGGAGGCGGAGGTTGCAGTGAGCTGAGATCATACCACTGCATTCCAGCTTGGGTGACAGAGTGAGACTCCGTCTCAAAAACAAAAGAAAAAGAAAAAAAGCTACAGTGAATAGTTGAGTTTGCCTAGGAAGCGTGGAAGTGAAGTCATGTATTTTGAGCTGGGTCATGACTTGTCACTTAAGCAGAGGTGAGCCCTTGAGAGGTTTTGAAGAGAAGCGATGTGGCAGCCATACTGTATGTTCCACGGACAGACTCCAGGGAGGCCGTGAAACCCCCAGAGCACAGCTTCTAAGAACGTGCCCACTCCTTGGCACCTCACTTCCCCCAACCCTGCCCTGCTCTGAGGTCTGTGCTGTGAAGGTGGCAGAGTAGACTGGACGGCGGGGAGTGGGACTGTCGTCATCAGATGAGAGCTAACAGTGGCAGAGGGTAGGCAAAACACTTGTGTTTGCAACATAACGTGAGATTTGACAGCTGACTGAGGGCGAGAGCAGCAGCCAAAACCAGAAAAGCCAGAGGGAAGTTGCAAGCACAAAAAAAAGTAGAAGATTTAATGGGAGAAATAACAATAGCTGGCATCTATTGAACACTTACTAGGAGCTAGGTACAGGCCCGTTCATTCATTTATACAATTAAAACTTTTTTTAAGAAACAGGGTCAGGCCGGGCGCGGTGGCTCAAACCTGTAATCCCAGCACTTTGGGAGGCCGAGACGGGTGGATCATGAGGTCAGGTATAGAGACGATCCTGGCTAACACGGTGAAACCCCGTCTCTACCAAAAAATACAAAAAACTAGCCGGGCGTGGTGGCGGGCGCCTGTAGTCCCAGCTACTCGGGAGGCTGAGGCAGGAGAATGGCCTGAACCCGGGAGGCGGAGCTTGCAGTGAGCCGAGATCACGCCACTGCGCTCCAGCCTGGGCGGCAGAGTGAGACTCAGTCAAAAAAAAAAAAAAAAGAAAAGAAAAGAAACAGGGTCATGCTCCATTGCCCAGGCTGGAGGGCAGTGGTGTGATCACAGCTCACTGCAGCCTTGAACTCCTGGCCTCAAGGAGTCCTCCCACCTCAGCCTCCTATGTAGCTGGGATTAGAGGTACCTGCAGTACACCTGGCTCCCTTTGAAAGTTTTTTGTAGAGGCAGGGCACAGTGGCTCACGCCTGTAATCCCAGCACTTTGGGAGGCCAAGGTGGGTGGATCACGAGGTCAGGAGTTCGAGACCAGCCTGACCAACATGGTGAAACCCCATCTCTACTTAAAATACAAAAATTAGCTGGGTGTGGTGGTGGGTGCCTGTAATCCCAGCTACTCAGGAGGCTAAATCATGAGACTTGCTTGAACCCGGAGGCGGAGGTTGCAGTGAGCCGAGATCATGCCACTGTACTCCAGCCTGCGTGACAGAGTCAGACTCCGTCTCAAAAAAAAAAAAGTAGCTTTTTGTAGAGGCAGGGCCTTGCTCTGTTGCTGGTGCAGTCATGGCTCACTGCAGCCTCTAACTCCTGGCCTTAAGCAATCTTCTGTCCTCCACCTCCCAAAGCGCTGGGGTTACAGGCGTGCACTACCACACCTGGTCCCTACAATTGTTCACTGAGCACCTACTGAGTGCCTTGCATTATTTTAAATGCTGGGTATTTGTCAGTGGACAAAACAGATTAAAAAATCATAGCCCTTAGGGAGCTTAGCCTCTAGCAGGGGTGTCAGACAATAACACAGCAAGTGTTGAGGAAGAAACGGAGGCGGCAGGGAGCGTGGTCGTTGAGCTTGGCCGACATGGAGCTGCGACAGTCGTACTTGGGCAGGGGCAGCATGGAGGCTGTGGTCCAGGGGAGCAGGACTGAGGGGCAAGGAGGAGATCTCCGGTTAGAAACGCAGGAGAGATTCTCCAGGGCCTTGCTGGTGCCAGTGACAACTGGGGTTTTCCTGAGACGGGACTGTGAGGAATGGGGGCTCTTGGTGAGGAATGGGGGCTCTAGGCAAGGAATGGGGGCTCTCGGCGAGGAATGGGGGCTCCGGCGAGGAATGGGGGCTCTCGGCGAGGAATGGGGGCTCTCGGCGAGGAATGGGGGCTCCGGCGAGGAATGGGGGCTCTCGGCGAGGAATGGGGGCTCTCGGCGAGGAATGGGGGCTCTCGGCGAGGAATGGGGGCTCCGGCGAGGAATGGGGGCTCTCGGCGAGGAATGGGGGCTCCGGCGAGGAATGGGGGCTCTCAGGCTGGAGAGGGCGAAGTTGGGTCCGGGATGCTGTCTGCCCACAGGGCCCCTTCCCCAACAGCTGCCCAGGCCAAGGCCAACCCTGCTGGGTTGTGTGGTGTGAGCCATGAGGCTGCTGCCAGGCTCGTACCTCAGGCGTGGTCGTGACACCCCGGCTTCACTGACCCTGCCCGTGGGGACATGGTGCCTGTGCGTGGGAACCTAGGCCTCAGCCGAGGCCCTAAGCTCCGGCACTGCCCAGAACTCAGCTCAGCGCTGGTGCTCAGCCCGCCTGCCGTGGCCCCGGGGGAGTGGAGCCCGTGTCCAGTGGGGGCTGGCGCTACACTGTGGGGTGAGGGGCTGGCCTTGTCCCATCGCAGACCTGTCCTCTCCTGGGGCAGGGTGGTGTGGGAGAGGGTATCAGGGCCATTTGCTGAGTCTGCTGTGTCTCTGCCGCCCCTGCCTGAACACTCAGATTCTGAAAGTCAAGAAGACGTCATCCGGAACATTGCCAGGCACCTCGCCCAGGTCGGGGACAGCATGGACCGTAGCATCCCTCCGGGCCTGGTGAACGGCCTGGCCCTGCAGCTCCGGAACACCAGCCGGTCGGAGGAGGTGAGTGAAGGCCTGAGGACCGTGTGGGCAGGTGAGTGAGCCTGTGGGGGCTGTCCCCTGCCTCTCACCAGGCAGCCCACTGTGGCGTGAGGCCACTCAACTCGTGACTGTCCGTTCCAGAACTCTGACGAAGGAACTGGACACAGGGCATGGTTCGTTGCTTTTCAGAAGAATTCAGCTGGTTCACATCGAGGAAACCTGAACCTTCAATCAGAGGAAAGAGTGTAGGGGTAAAAGCCTCTAAAAGATGAAGGAAGCATGTTTGGCTGACAGAAGTAACGGGCGCGTTCTTGGGTTGCAGGGAGTTTAATAGTGGTGCCGGTGAGAGCCGTAAGCCCTGGGGTGCCGCCTGCTGGTCTGCGGGGCTCCTTGGTTGGAACCCACACAGCTTTCTGAGCTCTACCGTTTGCTTGGCACTGTGGGGGATACAAGGTTGGTCCGGGGCACGGTGTCCACAAAACACTTAGCAGGAAGGAGAGCTACATCCTCCAACTGCCAAATACAGGCCTGTAGCGATGGGAGCTGAGACGAGAGAAAGTTCCACTTTGTCGACTCTACCAGCTGAAAACGCAGGCGTCCTCACCTCCTAGAAATCCAGTCATGCTTCTGTTCAGCAGGGCCAGCCTGTGACGTCCCCAGCAGCTGCCTAGAACGCAGGAGTGGCCGGCACACTCCCATGTAACTCTGCATGTGTGCCAACGGGCCTGACGGTCCTCGCCAGCCTCATGGTCTGTGTCCAGTACCCCCCATGCAGTCCCCTTCCTCGCCTCCATTCAGCTAGGTCTGCACCAATAAAATGGGCCTGGGCCTGAGGTGTCGCAGGTGGTCACTAGTTCTGGACTTGAAGTGCCTTGGGCGCAGGGACGACGAAGGCTTCTTGTATCCCATCACCGTCTAACAGTGAGCGCAGGGGCTCACCACACATGCGTTTGCTTAACGAGCCCCCTGCAGGGAGTGATTGCAATCTTCCCTTTCCATTGCCTTTCAGAACTCAACTGCTTCTCATTCTTTCAGCCCAGCAGCCCTGGATACTTAATCAGTACTTCCCTTTGAAGTGCTGCTTCATACTGGGGACTGTGTTTCCTTTGAGAGGGAAGAGTATTAGTGAACCAGGTTGTGTGTGCCCCTCTGTGCAGGACCGGAACAGGGACCTGGCCACTGCCCTGGAGCAGCTGCTGCAGGCCTACCCTACAGACATGGAGAAGGAGAAGACAATGCTGGTGCTGGCCCTGCTGCTGGCCAAGAAGGTGGCCAGTCACACGCCGTCCTTGCTGCGTGATGTCTTTCAAACAACGGTGAATTTTATTAACCAGAACCTACGCGCCTATGTGAGGAGCTTAGCCAGAAACGTAAGAACCCACGAGGTCAGCCCCTTCCCTGCCTGCTGCCCATGCCCTTTTCTCTGGAAGGTTGAGAAGCCCAGCGGGGCCGCTGCCTCTGATGCCAGCACAAGGGTTACAGGCTGTCCTGCTCGGGTTAGGTTTTGCTGTTGTGAGCAAGAAAGCTATGTGTGGAAGGTGGTGAAGGGCACCCACAGTCCTCTCGAGCTTTACCAGCTTACTATTGGAGACGTGCTCCACTCAGAGGGGCGGCAAAGGCTCATGTCGCACTCCTGGTGGGGTCCTCACAGCATAAGCAGGCGCAGAGTGGAAGGAAAGGGCTGGAGGGCCCACAATGAGCTTTTCAGACTGCTTGCCTTGTCATAAAAATAAGTGTAATGTGGCCGGCCGTGGTGGCTCACGCCTGTGATCCCAGCAGTCTGGGAGGCCGAGATGGGCAGATCACCTAAGGTCAGGAGTTCCAGACCAGCCTGGCCAACATGACGAAAGCCCATCTCTACTAAAATACAAAAATTAGCCGGGCATGGTGGTGCACACCTGTGGTCCCAGCTACTCAGGAGGCTGAGTGAGGCAGAACTGCTTGAACCCCGGAGGCAGAGGTTGCAGTGAACCGAGATCGCACCACTGCACTTTAGCCTGGATGACAGAGCGAGGCTCCATCTCAAAAAAAAGGTGAAATGTGAACCAAAACAAGTAGTCGAGAAAGGGGGGAGCTGTCTAAAATCTTTTCCAGAGCACATCTGTCCCATAACCAGGTATTAGAAGTCACCGTGTAAAGGCCGGGCATGGTGGCTCAAGCCTGTAATCCCAGCAATTTGGGAAGCAGAGGAGGATTGATTGAGGCCAGGAGTTTGAGACAAAACTGAGCAACATGGCAAGACCCTGTCTCTAAAAAATTTATAAAAATAATTAGCTGAGGGCCGGGTGTGGTGGCTCATGCCTGTAATCCCAGCACTTTGGGAGGCCAAGGCCGGTGGATCATGAAGTCAGGAGTTCAAGACCAGCCTGGCCAAGATGGTGAAACCCCGTCTCTACTAAAAATACAAAAAAAATTAGCTGGGTGCGGTGGCAGGTGCCTGTAATCCCAGCTACTTGAGGCAGGACAATCGCTTAAATCCTGGCGGCAGAGGCTGCAGTGAGCCAAGATCACGCCAGTGCACTCCAGTCTGGGTGACAGAGTGAGACTGTCTCAAAAAAAAAAAGAAAAAAACATTAGCTGAGCATGGTGGCATGCTAGTTCACGCCATCATGGAGGCTGAGGCAGAAGGATCTCTTTGCTTGAGGCCAGGAGTTCAAGGCTGCAGTGAGTTCATTGTGCCACTGCAGTCCAGCCTGAACAAAACAAGACCCTGTTTCTAAAAACAAACAGAGTGTTCACAACGCTGCCCAAGAAGGGCCGGTTTTTGCGGTTGCCCCCATGTAGCAAAATCTGGTGCTTCTGTTTCATAGACCCAAATGGATATTAAGTGGATATGTCTTATTTGTAAATTTAAAAATATTAGTGAATGTTTGGGATTTTATGATATGTCAGAAGCATTACTTCAGGCTTTGGTTTTTAAGTAAAATAGCATCTAATCCTCTACTGAGAACTCAAAAGAAAACATTCCTTATATGCTGTGGTCTTCAGTTATACAGGCATTTTAAAAACAGGAGAATGAGGCCGGGCACGGTGGCTCAAGCCTGTAATCCCAGCACTTTTGGGAGGCTGAGATGGGCAGATCACAGGTCAGGAGATTGAGACCATCCTGGCTAACACGGTGAAACTCCATCTCTACTAAAAATACAAAAAATTAGCCGGGCGAGGTGGCGGGCGCCTGTAGTCCCAGCTACTCGGGAGGCTGAGGCAGGAGAATGGCGTAAACCTGGGAAGCGGAACTTGTAGTGAGCTGAGATCTGGCCACTGCACTCCAGCCCGGGTGACAGAGCGAGACTCCGTCTCAAAAAAAAAAAAAAAACAAAACAAAACAAAACAAAAAAAAAACAAAACCCAGGAGAATGAATATAAATCTTAAATCAGGCATTAAACCCAGCTGAATTGTTGGAAGGAGGTAAGCCTGAGGCCATTCCTGGACAGCTTTTACCAACACCCATGTAAAGGGGGAATGAGTGGGCAGGACGTGTGTGGCTGTCTGTATGGACAGCTTACCAGAGACTGACGGCTGAGGCAGAATCGTGATTCCTCTAACCCAGCAGGGGCCTCCTGACACTGTCGATGCCTCGGAGATGTGAATAGCCACCTCACCGCCTGAACAGCCTGTTTTTGCAGTTGCCCCCACGTAGCAGAAAGTAGGATGCACGGATAGGACTTTAGGGCCCTGGAGAACATGTTTTTGCATAAACCCCAGCTTTGCTCCGCTGTGGCACAGCGCTCTGGAGCCTGGTTTGTGAATGAGCCCAGCTGATTCTGGCTTTTTCTCCTTTCTTGCTCTAGGGGATGGACTGAACCGACAGTTCCAAAAGTATGACTGGCTAAAGCTCGATATGGTCACAGCCATGTAGCTGCTTCCAGTGTAGACAGAGCCCTGGCACGTCAACAGCGTTCCTAGAGAAGACGGGCTGGAAGATAGCTGTGATTTCTGTTTTAAAGACAATGTTTTAAGCTTATAACGCATTCTAAAAGATCCACATTAATATACTTGAATGAAAATATCAATTTACACGTATTTGAATGGCCTTCGTATCATCCACACATGAATCTGCACATTCGTAAATCTATACATGGTGCCTTTATTTCCGCTGTGCAGGTTCTCACTTGAAAATTAAATTGAAAAGCAGGTTTCAAGGAAGTAGAAACAAAATACAATTTTTTTGGTAAAAAAAATTACTGTTTATTAAAGTACAACCATAGGGGATGGTCTTACAGCAGGCAGTATCCTGTTTGAGGAAAGCAAGAATTGGAGAGGAAAGGAACATATCCCTTACGAATGAAAAATTCCACTCAAAATAGGGACTATCTTAATACTAAGGAACCAACAATCTTCCTGTTTAAAAACCAAATGGCCCAGAGATTCGGAACTGAAGTGCTGCACGCAAACACTGGGACCGTCTGACGCCAGTACGTAGGCGCTTGACCTTCTCAATTTCATCTCCCTTTGTTTGAGTCAAAAAGAACCACTTGTGGTTCTAAAAGGTGTGAAGGTGGTTTAAGGGCCCAGGTCAGCCACCGTTTACAAAATCAGGTAACTAACGGCATGCACCTTTTCTCCTTCCATGACATCAAGGCTTTGCTAAAGACATTAAGCCACAGGTGCCGGAAGCTACTGCGATGCCCCGGGAGTAGCCCGGGAAGTTTACAGAAGCTGTAGACTTCCAGTTTCTAGCCGTACGCTCGGCTCATCCATGCCTCAGAAGTGCATCTGGAGAGAAGAGGTTTCTAAGCATAAAAGATGAAAGAGCAGTTGGACTTTTTAAAAATTCAGCAAAGCAGTTCCCTCTCCTAGGGACAGTCAAAACCAAGTCACTTAGGTAGTACCAAAATAAACAAGGAAGAGCTTAGCTTTAGAAACAATGCGCCGGGCGCGGTGGCTCACGCCTGTAATCCCAGCACTTTGGGAGGCCGAGGCGGGCGGATCACAAGGTCAGGAGATCGAGACCACAGTGAAACCCCGTCTCTATTAAAAATACAAAAAATTAGCCGGGCACCGTGGCGGGTGCCTGTAGTCCCAGCTGCTCAGGAGGCTGAGGCAGGAGAATGGCGTGAACCCGAGAAGCGGAGCTTGCAGCGAGCCAAGATCGTGCCACTGCACTCCAGCCTGGGCGACAGAGCGAGACTCCGTCTCAAAAAAAAAAAAAAAAAAAAGAAACAATGCAACACTGGTCTGCTGTTCAATGGGAAGCTATGGCCTAGGAATCAGTTTAAAAGCACGACGGTGGACGCTGGGTCTGTATCACACACATTGCTGTGAACAGGAATCTCCTGTGACCACAACAGGAGGCTACTGGAGACGCGCATGAGTAAGGGCACTGACAGACTCATGATTTCTTCTTACCGCTTTCCTGTTCCGTAAGAGTTTAAAATCATCAGAAAAGAAAAACAAACTCTATATTGTTCAGCATGGAATACATGCCACGCTAGGGCTGGCTCAATTGAAGTGGGCAAAAGGTTACAAAGACTAAAAAGAAATGCTGCCGTGCAGTGTGAAGGCCATGGTTTGGAAATAAATCTTTCTAAAACTATGACTTTTCCTGTTTCAGAGTGGACTTTTAAAAAAGTTTCCTGACCACAATGGAAAAAAAGTTGAACCACGCTGCACCTACACACCGTCCATACATCAGCCATTATAATCAGATTCTCACTGGGGGAGGCATTTTCTTCCCAAAGGGGCTATACAGGTGTCACCCGGAACTAATGGAAAAGGGCTCTAGAGCAGCAAATGACTGGACTATCATCTCTCACTGCCTCTTCCACGGCATCTTCACCTTATTCTGTTTCACTTGAATTCATACAGTAGGCCGCCATTTTATTACAGCTTATAACAGGCCTTAGAGTAAATTCTTCCAGACCAAATCTGAGATACCGTCTTGGTTGTAAAGCAAGAGCATCACCCCTTCTCCCAAAGCCAACATTATAAACAGATTGCATTGTCTCAAACACAGCTGCTCCAGTCTTGAGCACTTCCCAGCCATGGTGACTCAGGCATATCCTGGCAGTTGGTGGATTTTACCCTGTAACACAATCCTCGTGGAAATGACTGAAAGGTGATTTCAATTCAAAGAATGTGTTTTCCTTTCTGTTTTAAAAATATTCGAATGAAGTGATGGAAATTCCTTTGTTAAACATCAAAAGCTTTCTCCTTGAAAAGATGCTTGGTGTATCTGAAAGTCACGTGGGATATCTGGTGCATTCATAAGGTCAAAGCATTCCTGACCTCTCCTCTTAGGATCCAGCATTAACTGCTGAGATACTCAAGGCTTCCTTAAAGGGTCACAGCACTAGCGCCTGGTTTTATTGTCCAACAACTTTATTAGTTGTGCTCACTGAGAATTGGAATATAGAGAGTCCTTTGAATGTAACGATCTTGTTTTCAGAACCTGGAGTCAAACCAATTAAGTATGGACTTACAAAGACAATTGATCATATGAAATGATACCGCCTAAGTCAAGGGCATAGAGTGACCGACCATGTGGATAGAAAGATGAGTCCATCTATTGTCTTCAGATCCCATGTGTTCTCTCTAGTACATTGCTTCTGACAGAATAACTCACAGATTTGAAGTCTGTTCTTCCCCCGATGAAGAGGAGATTGGCCAAAAGGTAGATGACAGGAGGGAAGAGGAGCCAGAATGAGCCACAATGGTCAGTTCAGCAAAGCAGAGCGGCCGCACAGGGGGCCCATGGAACTCACACAGAAAAAGGAAACGTGCTGCTTCAGTAAAATGCCCGTGTTAACCTAATTATCCAAATCACCGATCAATTCTGGTATTTTTAACATGACAGCATTTGAGCCAACACTAAACTGACCTTAATTAAGGAATGAGTTAGGTAGGAAGAGGCACTTTTAATCTGGAGGAAGAAATGGAAGACTGTAATAGGGAAAATGCAGGTTTAGGAAAAAAATAAATGTTTTCCTTTGATGCTGGCCAAGGACCCCTCTACATAATACTGTTCTCTTGCTGGAAAGCATCAGGGACAGAGTTACTCCAAGCTCTGCAACAGGGAAGACTGTACTTTGACCTTCGTTTCCTGGGGAAAGGGAACAACTGGTAGTCTTAAAATGTCAAAACTTTTCTTCTAAATAGTACATTCATTAACTAGTTTCTTCTGGTGGTGCAAAGAACACTCCCCACAGTGAGCACTATCACTGTACAGTTTCCCGAGGAGAGGTGAGAGCGGCGGAGACTCACCTGGAGGCAGCTGCTACTTTTTAACTGATGACAAGGCCTTGCAAATACCCCCGAGAACAATTTCACTGTGCGCTCGCAGGGAAGCAGCAGTCTGGTGTGGGCTCCTGTGGCGTAGACATCAAATGTGGAAGACCTGATGGTGTTACTGAGTGAGGATGCCAGGCTGAAGTGAAACAGCCTTGCGAAAAGAAAGGGAAGATGGGATGTGCTAATATTTTAGTGGCATGCACTTTCCAACTGTCCATGGAGCTCTCTTTATAGATGAGATCACTGAACGTCACTGTTCTGTACCACAGAACTGATGTTCTCCAGCCAAGGTGATAACTACCATGATGTGCTGTGGAATGTCCTAGGTTTTCACCGGGAGGGTCTTCCAGGAGCTGACATACTTGTGGCCATACCTGGTCAACCCTCCTAAGTCCCCGACCTGTTCGAGTGTCTGTCCAGAGGCCAAGCAGTGCTTCCAGGTATTCCCCCACTTCACTCCACAGCCCTACCCTTATGATGGCATACGCAGGGGAGAAGGGACACACTCGAACAAACAGAAAAAGAGTGAGAAATGCATCTGCTGTCTTCACCCCCTTCACTTAGCACTTTGTGATCATTGCTGGGACAGATTGCCTAACCTTGTTTATAAGCAAAAATATTTAATCAAGAAAGCTAATGAAAGCTTATCAGCAATGCCTGTGGATTCTGTAACCACAAAGCATCTCACTCAATGTCTACATGGAAAACAGCTACATAATTGGAAGCTGAGACCAGTCCTGGACCTAACCCTCACTCTTGTTTTCTGTAGTAGAACATGCTTAATATTTAAGTGAGCCTATATGGTGACTTTGTACAAATTAAGACTTCCCTTCTCCCAAGGCCCATAGCATGGCGAGCAGAGCACAGGCTGCACATCGGAATTTGTCCTGTCAGTCCTTATGCAGTAAACAACTGGCGCAACTGTTTGCAGGGGACCTGCCAATACTGCTTTGCAGGGCCAGGAAAAGGATAAAAACCGGCAAAATCATTGCCTTGCCTCTCCTATGCTTGAGGACATTAGAACAACTAACAAACTCTGGGCCAGGCGTGGTGGCTCACGCCTGTAATCCCACCACTTTGGGAGGCTGAGGCGGGCGGATCACGAGGTCAGGAGATCGAGACCATCCTGGCTAACACGGTGAAACCCCATCTCTACTAAAAATACAAACAAATTAGCTGGGCATGGTGGTGGGCGCCTGTAGTCCCAGCTACTTGGGAGGCTGAGGCAGGAGAATGGCGTGAACCTGGGAGGCAGAGCTTGCAGTGAGCCGAGATTGCGCCACTGCAGTCCAGCCTGGGCGACAGAGTGAGACTGTCTCAAAAAAAAAAAAAAAAAAAAAAACAACTAACGAACTCCGATTAAGTTCCTCATTCTGTAATATGGGAATAAAAGGAATACAAACAGTGATTAGAACTGTGAAGGTGAAATAAGGCATGTGAGAGCACTAGAACCATCTCTGGCATGTTGTAAATGCTCAACTACTATTTGCTAAAAGTATAATTATTGACATGAGGTTTTTTTAGGAAAAATTATACACTCTAAACTCAAATGGATGTCATAATCAAGAGATTATCACTAAGGGCAGGTCCTGGTGCACCAGAGAAGAGGAAACATTCTGGTATGCAGCGTGTCGCTGAGATGTTAGATGAGATAATGCTTGTGTGGGAATTTGGGCAGATGCTCTAAGTCGTGTCTGTTAGCAATCTGATAGCCTACAAGGCCGTCTTGATGGATATGATCACCACCTCAAATTCTTGGAAAGATAAGTGTGTGTGGAAAGATGTAAGAAATTAAGAGAAAGGGAAACAACTTCTTAGCTACATTTTATTTCTATAAAACATCTCTTAAAATAATTCAAACACTGAAATGTCCACATCTCATACCTTTCAGGAGAAAGGAAATGAGCAGGCATTACTTTCATATTATTGAGGGAATCAGCTCAAAGCCTGAGGAAATTAATAGTAGCTGTGAGTCAAAGCCATGTCTCCAGGTTCACGGCTCACTCCCCCAGGACAAGCCTAGGTAGATAGTGGCTGTATCTGGTATCCCTGGGACAGAAATGCAGGTGAGAAGGGGTCTCAAGAATGCCTCGAGGGGGAAATGGGTGACCCAGAAGGTCAACAGTTGCATTTCTTGATCTAGAATGTTCTCTAGAAGGAAATGAGAGTCCCCTTAAGGCACACTGTAGGTACTGACTGATTTCTGTGGGCCCAGAATTATCACTTTAATACAGAGAGGATAAATTGGCATTCTTTGTTTTTTTCCCCCCAATAAATCATTACCTTCAACAGAGCAGTTGAGATGAGGTCTAAGAACAAGAACTTTTCTATAAACAAGTTGGATTTATACTGAATCTTTCCTTTACCTTCACTTAGAGGGTATGTAAGTTGGAAGCAGGAAGGAATGACCTACTATCAGCTCCTCCCCCAAAAAGGAAGGGGAGCTTGAGAAATCGTTTTTTAAATGTATGAGCAAAAAGCAGGAGCACAGTAGGAAGCAGTCCTCATGAGGTAAGGAAGTGAAGGAAGAACGGGGATGCTGCCACATCCTGTTAACTCAGGAGCTGACCGAGAGTTACCTAGAGAAAGCCAATGGAGGCCGGGCGCGGTGGCTCAAGCCTGTAATCCCAGCACTTTGGGAGGCCGAGACGGGCGGATCACAAGGTCAGGAGATCGAGACCATCCTGGCTAACACTGTGAAACCCCGTCTCTACTAAAAATGCAAAAAATTAGCCGGGCGAGGCGGCGGGCGCCTGTAGTCCCAGCTACTCGGGAGGCTGAGGCAGGAGAATGGCGTGAACCCGGGAGGCGGAGCTTGCAGTGAGCCGAGATCGCGCCACTGCACTCCAGCCTGGGCGACTAAGCGAGACTCTGTCTCAAAAAAAAAAAAAAAAAAAAAAAAGAGAAAGCCAATGGAAAACACTAGCTCCATTACCTAGCAAAATACAACTGGCCAAATCACTGTGGCTGAGTGTTCAACAGGTGGGGAAATAAAGCAGCAAGTAGCCACTTCCATACCACATTTCTTCCTTATTCTTTCCTTTTGTGGGCAGCACAGACTCAAATATCCTAGCCTCACGAGCACCTCCTTTCAGCAGTTCAGGGATGAACCTGGCTTCGATCGGCGCTTGAATCTGCTCAGCCAGTGGAGGATCCAGAGGTGGCAAGTGTTAATATTGGAACTCCAAGTATTTTATCACTTTTTTAAAATCAAGATAACTCACCAGTTGTATCTGCTCTTCACCTATGCAAACACAAATAATAGCAATTAGAATACAGAATAATCCAATGCAACTATCAGAGCCCATGAAGAAAAAAATTGTTGCCTCGCTAATCCCATTCCCCCCACTCACCTCTAATTACTTATCCAAGTACACAAAAACCCTTCAAACATCAGTCCCTCAGTGGGACACCAAAACACAGAACATAAAGACACGCTACACGATAAAGCTGGAAAGACACACAAACACACTCCCAGACCTTGTTTTGACCAATTTTTAAATAGTATTGCTTTAGGGAGATTTTATTTGAAAACATAAATTTCAAAAAGAAAGCACATTTAAAACATCAGGTTTTGTGATCAGGGTAGGTAAAGTATTATTATTATAAATTTCAGGATCTAAAAAATAATTTATTACATTTACTAAGACAAATCTAAGATGACCTTTTTAAACCAAGCCACATGTGCCCTGCATAGTGACGTCGTGACCCTTGGGCATGGAGAGATGCAGGTTTACTCTTCCTTCAGGGCTGGGATCAGCCAGAGGAAAGAAAATTATGCCAATGCTCAACTAGCATATACTGATTAGGACTATTCTGGTTTATTACCCTGGCATTGAAGAATTCAGGTGAAGATGCTGCCATTCTTGAACTCTGAAAGCCAAACTAGAATCTGCAGAGCAGCCTCAGTCTTAACATTCAAGCTTCTTTTTCCTACTTTTTATTTCAGTGATATTTAGGACACTCTATATTTCATAAGAGTTATGACCTAACTGGCTCTAAAAGCCCAAGAATAAAAATCCTTACCACCTAGCAAGAGACCCATAGAACTGGTCAGTAGTAAGACTGAGGTCACGTATTGGAAAAAACATACTAGCCCAGGATTAAAGACAGTGCCCATCCAGCAACAGAGATGTTGCTGGCAACTAACCATAGCGGTGGGTGACCACTGATGAAAAGTGCTGAAGAGACCTCAGAAGGTCATCCGGGTTTTCCTCCTGCCTTGACACAAGACAAATGTGTCTCTCTAGGCAGACTGACTTGCAATTGCACTCACAAGTGGGGACCCCAGGTCTCTTTCATGTTATTTTCTCTGTATACATATTTCAAAGATTCCTAAAGGCAGCATTTTTACAAGGTGGAGCTGCAGGAAGCTTTGGGGACTTGACAGGTCTGAGCAGAAGTCCAGAACAACCCCCCCTTAATGGGATTTTAGCAGGAACCTGGGGGTGAAGAGGAACAGTGCAGTCCCTGAGAGGCAGCTGAGAGTACGGGCGAGCACCCTCACACTCCAGGATGAGGGGCGGGGGGGCAAAAAAAGAGTGGGTGCAGAGCCCAGCCTGCTCATCAGGAAAGATGAAATTCTAAGGGGATTAAGAGCTAACAAGTCAGTAGCTGAGGAGCCCACAGCTAAGCTCTCTCAGCTGGGGATTTCTATCCCAATTCCTCCTAAGTAAACCCTCTTCCGCTAAAGCAGTGGGTCTCCACAGGGGATGTTCACAAGGAACATGTGGCAATGTCTACAGACATTTTCGGTTGTCATCTCTGGGAGGGGTGTGCCACTGGCATCTAGTGGGTGGAGGCCAGGGATGCTGCTGAACATCCCACCACAGAGAATGATCAGAATATCACTAGTGCCAAGGCTGGGAAACCCTGTCCTGGAGGGGGGCTTTACCCCTAAGTTTTCTCAATTTAGCATGAGCCGAGGCCCTTGGGATTTACAGTCAGATGAACGTGAATGCCCCCCCTCAAGCCCTAACATGCCTAACATGCCACTGCCACGTTGAGCAGAAGTCCCCAGTTATCCCAGAGTGTTCCACAAATGTCCAGACAGCTGCTGGAGGTTCAAATTCCAGCCAGTACAACTCCAACCTTACATCCTTCTGTCTGTCTCTCCTGAAAAGCCTTCTATTTCTTTCTCAGAGCCAGGGCTACCCCGATGGCCATTGCCAGGATGGCAACAGCAGCAGCGCCTCCAAACAGCAGTATAGACTTGCCCTCAGACAGCGGCAGGGGCTTCATCTCGCCGGCGGGGGACAGTCTAGATTTGCCCTCAGAGAGCAGCAGGGGCTTCATCTCACCGGGAGGGGACAGCTCTTCCCCAAGGCTCTCTTCCCTTGCGTTTGTCTCCTTCTCACTCAGCAGCGTTTCTATAGGTTCCGGCGCGGGGACCACCTCCTTCACTTCAGTAGGTTCAACTGTTGCTGCTTTCACCTCTTCTTCATCAAGTTCTACAAACAGGGATGTAGCAGGGCTGGATTTCTCCACTGTGATCACTTCTGTGTCAGGTTCCCTTGTCCCCAGCAAGGAGGTGGCAGTGATATGTGGAAGCAAGGGGGCTGGGGCTTCAGGGAGGGCCTCTGGCAGCTCCCCCGCTGGCAAGACCACAGAAGCCACAGCAGCCTCTTCCATGCCCTCGGGCACTTCTTCTTTTTCCACGTGCACGATGTCAGAATTGGAGGAGTTGTTCTCACTCTTCTCTCCAGCTCCGTTGCTGTCTAAGCTTTTCACTTCTTCAGGATCCATTGCAATCTGCTGCCAGGACTCAGGGCCTAGAGAGACTGGTAGGCTTTCTGTGTGCCAGCTCTGGCTAGCTGACAGCGAGACAGGTAAGCTCTCGGGCTGCCAGGAAGTGGTCACAGTTGGAGACTCTGGGGGACTGACCTGTCCAGAGTTGTCGCTGGGCAGGATATAAATGTCATTACTATCTTCTGCAGTGATTCCAGGGTATTCCTCCTCCTCCGACTCAAGACTAAACACAGTGCCCTAGAAACGAAGGACAAGTGTCAATAATAAAAATCTATTTAAAAAATAAACATCAATCTGTAAAGCAAATTCCTTCCTAAACTGAAGTTTAAACATTCCAAAAAAAAAAAAAAAATTAAAATCCAAAACACTTCTGATCCCAAGCACTTTGGATGAGGGATACTCACCCTGTATGTTCAATGCAGTAATTAATGCAAAATAGCAGAGAAAACAAAGGCAAGACCTTGTGCTCAAGGAATGTATCACTTAGTAGGGTATAAAAATAATGCTGTGTCATAGTGAAAGTGCTGTTAAGAGTTCATATGGCAGTGCTGCTTTCCTTAGAAGAAGAAGAAAAAACAGTTCAGATGGGAAAAAGACCTCTTTGGGTAGAGGTCAGAGAAAGCAGGGAGATCACAGAAAGCTTCACGGAGGGACTAGCAT